GAATATTACATGTTTCAGATAGTAGACTTCATAAAATCTCGATCGGGACAGTGTCCTTATTGCTTGTTGGATACTCCTGGTCAGATCGAAGCTTTTACGTGGTCGGCTTCTGGGTCGATTATTACCGATTCATTAGCTTCTTCATTTCCAACATTGGTAGCATTTATCATTGATTCGGTACGCGTTGCAAACCCGACAACATTCATGTCGAATATGCTTTATGCGTGCTCAATTCTGTACCGTACAAAGCTTCCATTCATCGTTGTTTTTAATAAGGTTATTTCATGCTTGCTTTTAATAGATGTGTTGCTGTCAGTTGTTTAAACTATTGAGTGATTAATTTTTCGTAAGACGATAGGACTAATGAACAATGGCAGGAAATTAATGCTTTATAGTTTATTCATTTTACTGTTTTGATGGATTGCTAAGTTGTTAGATTAATTTTATTCTGGACTTACTGCGCTCTGCTCACTGTCACAAAATATGCATCATGATATAAAAAGAGAAAAAATTGTAGGCAGACATAATAAAGCCAACATTTGCAACGAAATGGATGAGTGATTTCGAAAGCTTTCAAGAAGCGTTGGATCAGAATTCTACGTCATATATGAACGATTTAACTAGGTCTTTAAGTCTTGTACTTGATCAGTTCTACCAAAACTTGGCCACTGTCTCAGGTTCGTTAAGGTTCTGAAATACGCAGCAAAACTTGGGAATACTGAGTTAAATTCATTGTTTCAGAGGTAATAAAAACATGAGGTGACTTATTTGATGAACAGCTCTTGTCCAAGGTAATTGATATAACGAACATCTTAACACTGCGAAGGGCCTTAGATTCAGTGCATGCAATCTCTTCCGAAATTTTTTGAAAAGCAAATATTATTTTGATTTCTAGGTGAAAATGTATTTTGTTTCGTAATTATTTCAGTTTCTTCGATGACTGGTGAAGGAATCGATAACTTTTTGAAATTAGCGCAAGGTTGTGTCAAGCAATATTTTGAAGTATATCGTCCAATGTATGATCAATTATTGAAACAAAAGGTGTTCATTTTTCCTTTATTTCAGCTAAAGATGCAGTTTTGGTTTTTTGTCAGCATCGTTTTTATTGAAAAAAAAAATAAAATTTAAGTACTTGGAATTGTCTCAGCTATTGCATATTTGTTGAAGTGCAGTGCATCGGGCTTTTGTGCTTTAGAGTTATTATCTTAATGAGAATTTCGTAAGCTAATCTTGATAATACTGTATTTTAAAAGAAACGACTTTGTTTCAGGCTGATTTATTGGCGAAGGAAACAGCGGAAAGTTTAGAGAAGTTATGCAGTATGGAAAAAAAAGTTGTTGATTTTGCACCTATTTTGGAAACTGCTCCAAAAACTGAGAAAATACACTTAGGAGGAGTGGACCAAGAAAATTCAGAAGATGCTATGTTATTGCGATAATGTTGCGATGTACTGGTGCAGAATTTGCAGAAAGTTATTTAAGCATATTGTTCCATCGATAAAAAAATATTTTTTACTTCATGTGAATGAAAATTTTGAAATTGGAAGAATAAAAAAGTGACAGAATGTTTTATCGAAAGAGTTGTATTTCTTTTAAACGAGATACTTTTTTAGATGGGGGAAAACAATTACTATGTTTGATTTAAAAAAAAAGAACTTTCGTGGAATATTTTCGATTCGACATGTGAAGCTGGAAATCATATGAAATAAAGGCTCTATCTGATTAACCTGAGTTTTCGCTGATACTCATAGTGTATTTACTGCTCTATAGTGATCATCGATCCGTACTTTTACATCGATCTTCTGACCATTTTTTTCAATTCTTATTTATGCAGGGTTCAGTATGTTCCTCTTAAACATGATTTTTAAACAGAAAATAATTAGTTTTTTGAGTATCAGCTCTAATACTGTCTCCTGGTTTGATTTTTAGTTGCTCACTGGTTCAAGAGGGGAATTTACTGTAAGCGGGAGGTGTTTAATTCTAATGGTTTATTTGCGAATATTTGAAGTTTGCGTCTGCCTGCATCGATGTTTTCTTTGTTGCCAATGCGGGCAACATTAATGGATTAGTCATGCTGAAGCCAAAATTGTTCTATTTTCCCACATATTTTTTGTTTCCATTTTGTTATTAACTTGTTATCTTATTTTTTGACAGTGGGATGGATTTTTCGTCTCAATATTACTGAAAATGACCATTTATCAATGAAAAAAAAAAAAAATTTCAAAAACAATTCTGCCGAGCAGTGATCCGTACTTAGGATTTCGAAGTATTATAGTTTAAAAATTGAAGTTAGAGTTAGAGCTCTGTATGTTCAACATTTCGTTACCCTTATTACTCCTAAGATCAAATTATGGATTATACGAGCAATGTTTGAGCGTAAATTTAATGTTTAACGGAAAGTAAATTGGTTGATTATTGTTCTTCAAAAAAATAAATGAAATAAAATGATGGAAGTATTTGTTTTGTTTTCCTGTTATCTTTTTCTAGTTTTTTCTTGTTTAGAAGTTTTCGAATATTTTCGTATAGTTTATGATTTGCTGATTGGGGAAGCTTTCCAAAATCTGTAGTTCAAATTTCAAGAATTTCAAGAAATTTTTGTAGATATATTTCTAGGCTAGACGGGATTTTGAAATTTATTTACTGGGTTGAACAGAGCATTATATTGTGTTACTGATCAAGTGTTACTAACAGATCAAATGTCTGAGGCGTCAAGAATGCTTTTCTTTCCTCAGGAAATCCATCAGCAAACAGTAGTGCATTAAATTAATTTATTTTTCAAAACATATAGAAAATTAAGGTTGTGCTGAAGAACTTGTTCTACGTTTGCTCTAAGCAGAAAGTCACAAAATCATCAACCTGGGTTTTCAGGTTGTGCTAATACACTGCGACAATTAAAAAAAAAGTAATAATCATGTGTGAAATCCATTAATTATTTTGAAATGTTTCATATCATTAATTGAGGACGTAAAAATTCATGTTCTTTTTTTCTATTTTATAAATGTTGCTAAAGATTTGATATGCTCTTTCGCATTTTCTTATTTGATGATACATTTTCTTGTTTGTTTATGGTTAATGGTTTTTATCATTCGCTTGCATTGTTGTTTTTTTCCCTACATGATGTTTCCCTTGGTTTAATTCCAAGCGAAGAAAAAACTTAGTACTGAACTGTTGGAATGTGCAGTTAGCTTATAGTATTAAAATCGAAAAATGTTGTTGTTGTGAAGACTCACCTTTCCAAAGGATTAAAGATATAAAATGCTTGTTTTTTTATTAATCTGAATCATGATAATGTAGTTTCTTTGTGTATTGTAAAAAGACCAATCAATTTAATCACTTTTTGCAGATCAAGATATCGATTTGCTGAAGACGACCAGAAATAATGAATGCACATATATTTCATCAGTCAGTACCTATGAAAAAATTTAAAAGTTCAACAAAGGAAGCAATGTCAGAGAAGGCTGCATATTTCATGTTAGCTCATTTTTCGTCAATTCAATAACTAGAAACAATTTAAACATATTGTAAGTTGCCTAATGTGTTTCGTAATTTCAGTATATTTTGTTTACTCTTTAACATATGGAAAAGACTTTTGATTCCCACTACATAACCATTAAGTCGTTGTTTATGTGAGGGGAAAGTTGACGCATTTAAGTTTGACTGAAAAAGTAGGATAAGCAAATTATTATTTTGAGTTGTAAAACACAGCGACAAAAATCAGACTTTTTTCGAAGTTAATAGCTTTTGAAGTTAAGTTAACAAACTTCACTATTAGAAAAGTAATACAGATTTTTTTGCAGTGCATTTACTTTGTAAAGAAAAAGATGTCTTCTTGCGCTTTATTTCATTACAATCATGTCAACTCATTTTTCGTTAATATTCAATGATCAGAAACATTTTAAACATACAAATGTAAAATATCACTGTGCTCATATTTTTCAAAATTCAATTTTAAAATGGACTGCACATTTGACGGAATATAGCAGGCTACCTACCAGTAAATCTTAAGTAAAGCGACTGCTTCAATTAGTACTTTCCATCAGGTAGTGTGTTCCCTTCTTATTCCATCAATGTTTTTTTTTTTTTTGGTTTTGTTTGAAATGTATCTCTGTAATACTCAACTTTTTTCGGTTGAAGAGGTTTTTTCATTAAGCTTTTCTCTCATTTTTATCAATTTTTATTTTTTTGAGATGTTTTTCAGCTTAGATTTTTTTTTAATTCGCCATTATGATTGATTAGTACTAATATGTTTTGAAATGCTAAGTATGTAACTATTGATTTTTTTAAAATTACTTCAATCCTTTCTCGGTCTCAGAAAAATCTTTGCCAGCATAGTCTGTTCTTTCCTGAGATCAATTAAAAGAATTTGTTGTTTTGATAAATCCTTTTTCAGTTTTGGTGCAATTCATTTCTCAATTTGATAATTGTTAATGGCGATAAAGCTCATAAATCGTCTGTCTCAATTTTGCTTTCGAGCAGAGTACTAGTAATTTCTGAATCATATAGTAAAAAACCATCTCTAAATATCGGTTTAATGAGTTTTTGATGGTAACCGTGTATGATTTGTCATGTTTCTAGTAGCGATCTAGAATTTCAACATATGCACTATCTCAAATTTGTTTTAATAATGCAAAGAGTAGTTACTACTCGAAGTTATGAAATAATGCATTTATCAAGAAATCCCTTTTTTAAAATAATTGCTGTGGAAACACTAAACTTTTTCTTCTACTTATTTAATATTTTTTGTTTTTTTATCTAACAGTTGGATTTCATTTTTCACTTATCTTTTACATCTGCAAGCATGATTTTCTTTTTGTAATTCAGTTTGAATTAGATTCATGTAAAGGCTTTTCTACACATCTAAATATCTGGAAAGCAACTGATTCTTCTTGCTATTCATTTCTTGATATGTGCTGTGGAGAAGAAAAATAACAAAGTTGCATATTTGTAAAATATATCTGTTTCAGGAGACATGCATGAGAGAAAGGAAGATGGTATTTCAGGATGAATTTTTCGGTGGAAAATGAAATTGATGGTAACGCGAATGGTAGCGCAGAAGATTTTTACTCCTTCTTATCCACTTATCCATTGCTCGATTTCTACATTGGTCTCAGCTTGGCCATTTCGTCATCCTTATTTATTGGTAGTTCATTTATTATCAAGAAAAAAGCACTGATCAAACTTGCGCAAGTTGATTGTACCCATCGTGCTTCCGAAGGCGGTTTCGGTTATTTACGTGAATGGTTATGGTGGTTCGGCGTATTGACTAGTGAGTTTTTTTTCAAGAGAGAAGAACTAAGACACATGTTAATCATCCGTTCAGTATGTATCTTGAAAATGAGATGAATGACTTTATTTGTTGATGGAAGTTCTCTTATTTTTTCATTTGTTTCATTTATGGATGAGAATCTTTTCGACTATCTAATTAGCTAATACAATAAACTTTTCGTTTTTTTCACATAAAGTTTTGTTTTATAGAAAGCAATTCATCTGATTTATTTGTTCAAAACCTTTTTTTGCAGTGGGTACTGGTGAGGCGTGCAATTTTGCAGCATACGCTTTTGCACCAGCAAGTCTAGTAACGCCACTTGGCGCATTGAGTGTCATCGTGACGTGAGTTTACACTCAATTTCCAGAATAATTTATTTTACTTTTAAATAAATCCCAGAATACTAAAACTGTTAAAAAATGTTTCCTTTTCTATTAATAGTGGCGTATAGCGCACAACGGAAATATGAGTTTATGAACCGAAACAACCTTATGCTGTCAAACATTTAACCGCTGATTTTAAACTAACAAATTAAGTCAGTTGAATTTGACTCTCTCTATATATATTTGAGGTTAGTTATTACAAAATTGCATATTTAACTATCATACATGATGCATAGTGAGAAGGATGGAATATCCTGAATATAATTAAACTAATTAAATCACAGTTAATATGCTAACCTGGGACTGATGGTTAAACCGAGCTTATTCGATCGAATAACTTGGCAGTCGAAACATTAGCATAATGGGTGGAACATTTAAGAATGGAACATCAGCAATTTCCTGGACTTTTATGTTACAGTCATATTTGATTCAATTTTATCGCAACTATTAGGGATGTGGAATTCAGTTTACTTCAGTTTTTTTCCTTAAATTATTTTTTGTTGCAGAAAAACAATTAAGGTGGGAGGATTGAATTCTCATATAAGTAAAAAAGTCTGTTCCGACTAGTTCTAATATAATCGAAAGAATCATGATTATTAGATTAAATGATTAAGTTATTAGATTTATTTTTATGAAGTTTCAGAGCAGTGTTGTCGTCAAAATTGCTCAAAGAACGTTTAAATTTACTCGGTAAAATTGGTTGTGCGGTGTGTCTTCTTGGTTCAACAGTAATCGTCTTACATTCACCGAAGGAAGAAGAGGTTTCAAATATGGCTGATTTGGCTCTCAAAATGAGAAATGCTGGTCTTTTTTAATTTATAGTTTTTTTTTTCTTATTTTAAAGAAATTTATGTAATAAGTGCTGAAGGAGTTGCTTGCCTGGAAAGTGTGAAGTACTTTTGTTAAGAACCATTCTGCAAGGGCAGAAGATGACTTATTTTGCACACTTACTCTTTTTTTGGTTACTGATTATCCAATCATCTTTCAATACAAAAAAAAAAAGTTTTTTTCAAGTGCTTTGGAATGGTAACTTATAGCATATTGAAATGTGAAATGAAGCTCAGTATCTTAACGTTTTGCAAAAGCTTACTACAACATTTTAATGTTGGTTCCATTTGCCCAGTTATAAAACTACTAGGTTAAAATACTAATTTAAATGGCCGGGATATTTGAAGGGAAGGAAGCTTTATAAGTTAGCAACATGATTTGTTAGGAAAGATGGTAATCTTCATTTTTAATCTTTTTTCTTTGTTTGTTACTATTAGTTATAGCTGGTTTTATTTATTCGACCGTAATTTCAATTAATAATGACTATGTAATCTATATTTTATTATGTTCAATCTTCACAGAATGCATTTTCAGGTTTCATTTTCTATGTGGTAGCAGTAATTTTGGTATCATTGGTAATGATTATTTATGTGGCACCACGTTTGGGTCGCTCTAATATTTTGGTATATATATTTATTTGCTCTATCATCGGTTCACTTTCAGTATTATCTGTTAAAGGACTTGGTTTAGCCATTAAAGAAACAATTGGTGGGAAACAACAACTTACAAATTTTCTTACATGGTTTTGGCTTGTTGCTGTAATTCTTTGCGTTTCGATACAGCTGGTTAGTTTTTCCTTATTTTTATAAATCAGTTGAATAAATATATGGAAAGGTGCGAATTTGTTGGCATAGAAGTGGCGAGGTACGAAATTCGACATTTCATTCGTTCTTTTAAAATTTTAGAAAAACTTGCTGATGTTCAACTTTGAAAGTCTTTTAATAGGCTTACAATCACATTATGATGAGGGTGCTTAAGGAAATTTATGCTCGAAGTTTGAGAAAAGTTTTGGTTGGTAATGGTTAGGCACACGCAAACTGCTTTAAGATGCATAAATAATTGCTGTAAACAGTGAAAGCTGTTCCTTCTGATTCTCTAAAATACTATTTCTTTATTGGAAGGCCCAAACAGAAGACAAACTGCTTTAAAGAAAAAGTGATCTATCATTTTCCGCAGAAAATGGCCATGTTATTGATTGGTTTAAACAAGTTTAGTAAGATTTGTCATTACTTTTGAACTTTATTGAGATATATTTGAATAAATCTCTGGATATGTACAACACATCAATGGTGACGCCTATATATTATGTATTCTTCACAACATTCGTAATATTGGCTTCATCGATTTTATACAAGGAATGGTCTCGCTTGGGTGCAAGTGATGTTTTAGGGAATGTTGTGGGCTTCCTTATAACAATCATTGGTATTTTTCAGGTGAAATTGCGGAGATATCATTTATTTTTTTAATATGAAGTCTAACTTGAGTTACCGTCAAAAAATTCATATACGAAAATATAATTTCAAACAATAGACAGACGAAGAAATTTTTTCTAATGATATAGTTGTGATGAGATGTCATTATAGGTTTTCAATAAATGTTTTTCAATATTACTTGTTATGGAAGTGTAATAAAAAGCATTGTTTGCAGATGCAGTTATTCCGTGATGTGAATATAACGCTGCGACATTTACGAATGCTTATCCATAAGCCTTCGACAGACGCAACTTTCGAAACAGCGAATAGTGCCACATCATTGGTTGATGACTTGCCTAGCGATGCTGCAAATCCTCAACAAATTTACACTTAGTATAGCGAAAAGCTTTTTTAATAATTTTTGTATGATGCTAACCTAAACTAGAAAAGTAAAACTGCGATCGCATGCCATTATAGGTTTCTAAATGGGTTCTTTAACAATGTGATGAAATTACAAAGTATTCCAAAAAAACTTTTCTCCTCTATTTTTTAATGCTATCACCTGAGAAAAGCATATATTCTTGTGACTTCTTTGATCTTGATTATCAACACTGTTTGAAAACTGGTAGAAGATCCGGATAGTAAGCTTACATTAATCAATTGAAATTATATATGCTGCCGAATTTGGCCGAATTGTTACTCAGTGATGTTATTATAATTTTCCAGATTTTAGGAACTTTGAATTTCTATGCATGTTAGTATGTTAGCCTACATAACAAAAAATTTTTTTGAAGGGGTATAAGACCTAGAAAGATTATTTGGATGTTTTATGCTGAAAAGAGTATGTAGGAATGCAGTAGCAGAATCATTTGTGCAGTTTTTCATCAGTGAAAATATTGGAATACAAGAAAAAATAGAGAATGTAGGAATTTCATATTACCATATTTAAAATTGAACATCATATTTCTTCGAGATATAAGAATCGTATTTTAAATTTATTTTGCCTCCATTTAAATTTAAAATTTTTTTTTTAAATTTATTTTGCCTTGATATCATACAATAGTGTTGATTTGATAAACGATTTTATTTTTTAAAAAAGCTTTCTTTTTTTTTTAAATTATTGGCCATAACTGTGCATTTTTTTCCCAAAACCAGACTTCATTACTCAAAGTGTGCAACTCCTAGATTTTTTCCCCTGGAGTAATCGTTTTTAATTATTGAATTTTCAAGTTATTTTAAATTGCTTTTTGCATTTTACAGCGAAGTTGAAATTTTAATGTTCCAGAGTACTGTATGTTTTATTGAATTCTATATTTAAAAATATTACTGAATGCCTGGGAAGATATAAATTCATGTATGACAGAAGTGTTTCGTTGAATTTACAGTTATTTTTCTTTACAAAGGAGCCTTTTACAAATGTATTAATATTTCTTTCTGATGTTGTGATTACATTTAATTGTGTATATATGTTAGTAGGGGATGATTCGTTAAAACTTCATTTCAAGTTGAAAAAGAATGAAAGTCATTCTGCACAATAATATAATTACTGTTATGTGGAAGTATGTGGAAATATTGATACCTTCATATTGTAATTACTAGTAAAATGTTTTTGTAGGAAATGGTATATTATATATATATGGCATAATGTTACACATTCTGGTTCATTTTTTGACTTCTTATTTTCATATTAATTCACGTTACAGAGATCAATGATTGCAGAATAGCTATGAATGTGTTCCTTTTGATCGTAACATTCTTTTCTCTTGTATTTCCCGTTTGGATCGGAATTCGTGTTATGTTGCTCACAGTTTATAAAAGAAAAGAAATGAACAGAGGGATTATGAACAGGTCGAAAGATATGTCGTTGTTTCCAGTAACATAGAGAATGTTGCAACGTAGACGAATTTGATTGAAGTAATTTTGAAGTTGAAATTGCATTATCCGTCGCTTTATCAAAAACCATGTGCATATAAATTTTTCTTCCGGAAGAGAAATGTTGAGTGGTTGACAAATTCATGGGGAGGAAAAGAAACCTCCTCTGTGATATGCAAAAGTCTTTCTTGATGTGCTTTTACTAAAATCAACGTGGAGATGAAATATAACATGATCAATATACTTTTTCCCATTGTTTATTTCATTTAATTCATTATGTTTTCAGCAATTGGAAATAGCATTGAAGATGATTATAAGAAAGTAACCCTTTGGCAAATTATATATGATATTTCTAGGATTACTTGAATATTAATAAATACCACAAACAGTTTCAATTGTTAATTTGGGCAGTCTTAATGGTACTGGAATGCAATTCCGTAATACAATTAAGCTTATTTAAAAGAAGTGATTTTTCTGAGTCATAATATAAATTGAGTTGCTGAAGAGCTAAAGAAAGGTTGGAACGATTTTAGTGAAATGAAGTCAGCGAGAATCATTGCTTTCCTAGCTCCAAAAGAAAACGAATTAACTATCAATAAACTAGTCTGTTTCACTTTTTTTTTTTTTTTTCAGATTTTTCCTTTTTGGTCTTCTTTAGTCTTGATCAAAGTGAAATCTGATAATTCCCCGACATTTCCTTTGGTCATTACTTTACATCAAAGATTTGCAAGCTGATCATTTCCAGCTTTCGAACTCTCGGATGTGTCCAATGCACCTTTTCACAGATCTAACTGTTCATCAGCTTAGTAATTTCATTACATAACAAGTTTCGATGTTTTACAGCAATTCGGAAGTAATATTTGAAAATTTAAAAAAATATATTTGAAATTTTTGGGGTGAAATCTTTGAAGTGGAACCATTTTGCATCTGCTTGGGAAGAGATATAAATTATAATCAGAAAGGTAGAAAAAAAAAATTAGGCATGGAGATAAAGGAAAGAAATCTAAATTGGAGGATGCAGCATTTAGAAATACAACAATTGTCACCTCATATGCATTAATTATTGATGTCAATTTATTGTCCTCCATTTATTATCTCTGAGATTTCATTTCACGTTTCTTTTGAAATTTCTTCCTTTTTAATCACAGCTGACGACTCGTAATAATATCAAGGAGCGTTCTTTTATCACAAAATCATTCATTAAAAAGGAGTATAAGCCGAGTATCTACTCATGCTCTGTATTTGTTGAACATTTGCGCAGTTGTTCACTAATTATCTCTTTGTTCTTTACAAGCTAAATCAATTTATTGAAGACAACACCTGGTTACTTTGTTATTTATCAACGGTAACGTATCATTTGCAGAATATAGTAGTTTCGGTTTTTAGCGTCTAGATGAATTTATCATCGCTTTCATGTCATTCCAAAAAGGATTGTGCGATTAGATTTTCGGTGGTAATAGAGAACGCATGACAACTCCGCTTTATAGAAAGAGTGTGTGGAACAGCAAATCGAATTTACATTGCAGTATATCGAGATTTGTAATATGCTTAGTTAACAGGTTGGCATAACATTGTTTCGTTAATAAGGTATTTAGGGCCATCAAAAACATTTCAGTACAATCTTAGTAAAAAAACTTCTTCAGAGAAGCATATCTATCCAGAAATTCTTTGGTGAATGAATTGGCAAAACACTGAAGTGTTCTTGCTAATTGAAACTTAATTTTCAAGTCACAATAACAATTCCTTTCCACCGAATTACATATAAGCAATCGCTTTACAAGGTTGTAAAATGCAGGAAAACTGAAGACTGAAACGAAGTTTTTTGTTTTTCTTTCACTAAATAATTGACATAACTTATAAATTGTAAAAACAAGTCATTAATTTCAACTTAAGCGAATGTAGTAAATTAAAGAGAAGCTGAAAAGGATGTGCTAATTTCATCTCTATGTTTCATTTACACACTGGCATATAGCTAAGGGAAATAAATGAAGTGGTTCATCTTACACTGCAAGAAACCTATCTGGAACACATTATATCTCTTTGTAGACGCTGTTGTTTGGTAGCCTTTTAAACCTATGAAACTATTTCAAATTCAATTCAATTCACTTTTCTAAGTTCTCTGTCATTCAATGGCATAATAAAAATATTGTTGCTCTCATTTTACTCTTCATTCAAGACAAGAATTCTACCAGTTTCCAATCACAGTTGTTAATCTCTTAAATCAAACTCAATTTGAGGGAAGATACAAACATTGTGAAGTTACTATATTGCTTCTACTTCCCTTCTTGAATGCTTTTCTTAATGTGTGGTCGGTCACTATAGCAAAAAACTTTCTGATATTAAGACATTTAGCATTAGAAAAGCGTACTGATATGCTACATGAGACTTACCATTTTAAATTAAATGATATTGAACGAATGTTTATCGATAACAAGGTATGTATTTACCACACTAAAAATACTTCCGGATATTGATACCAGCACTGAAAGGAATAAAAATTTTTATGGTTAGCCTAACGCTCCTTCCCGATGACAAGCAGTGAAGAAAAACTCACTTCCTGTGATTTTCATCTCCTTATTTACTCCATTTATTAAACTGGTGATGCTGTTTTTGATATCGGAATGCTATATTACAATTATTTGATCGTTTATTTAATGGTGGGTTGGGTTATAATTAATTCATATTTATTTTTTGTGAAAATGTGGACTTATCATCTTTTCTCAGTAGAGCATCTTTACTCTACAGATATCTAGACAGATTGCTTTTATATCATTCTATATTAAGCCTTCGCTTCCACTAACTTTCATCTTAAGCTTGGGTGCGAAAATTTTAAATCTGTTTTGGTCCTTCTGCCTTTGGTTTCCGAGTCAAATATTCTGAAAATATTTGTATTTATGTATTTCAATAAAGTGAGAAGGAATTATAGATTAGAATTTATTTACTTCTACTAAACTTACTCTCTTTTACCGTGGGCAAACGTTATTATTCTTTCAAAAAGTCAACAGTTTTGTTCGAGATTTTCTCAAAAATAATTCATACTCCCACATTTTTCAGTCATATATTTTCAGTATTTCTATATTTTCCAGCACTATTTTCTTGTTTTGTTTGAATATACTACACTTTGTTTAGATAAACCTTAATTTCCATCACTTCACAACCAATTTAAATGCCTAAATTGAATTTCAGCTCGAAGAGTTCCTTTCTTTCTAATATAGCTATATTTTAATGCTCTATAAAGTTATCTGTATCTAAAGATAATTTTCTCAACTAACTTTTTAATTTTCTCCAAAAGATTCAGCCGCATCTCCAGAAGTATTCCCTATTTAAAGGTATTTCTTTTCTATCCAAAAAAAAGTACCCTTTTTTCAGTAGCACAACAGAGGGAAAGAGAGACTATCCTTACCAACTACCCCTCAGGAATCTTTCACAGGACCTTTGCGACGAATCATTCGTTTGACTACGACTTTAAGGCAGGCACTTATCCGAAATATACTCCACTGAATACCCGAATTGGGCGAACTTTGTTGGAAATAAAGCTCGAAGAGTGAGCGGGTTTCCCAGACATAAGATCAGCTGACTCCTTTGGGAGTTGGAGCTGTGATTTGGTAGTAGAGTGGTGTTGGGGACCTTTTTGCTGGTGGGTTTGGTGGCTTTGGACTGGCGGAGAGAAGGGAAAAGTCACAGATGGAAGAGGTCTGCATGTTTAACATGTTACCTGTTCATATCATATTGTTTCTTTTCTTTCGATCTTAAAAAATCTCATGGAATTAGTTATTTTCTGGATTGCTCATCAATATACGTAACTCACATAAAGACTAATTTCAGGAATAGAGTTAGAATGGTTTCTGTGTTCCTTTCACGAATTGTTGTGCTCACGGCGGGCACCCTCTATCCTGCATATCGAAGCTACAAAGCTGTTAGAACAAAGGTTTTCCTTCTTGTTAAATATCTCATAGAACACAGTACTTAATCTAAGTTTATTCAATTTCTTTCTTATCCTAGTTTATTTCGAAAACGAGAGCCTAATTAGGGTTAAGATGAAATCATCAAAGGGTGTCATAGTTACATGCTGGAATGACCCATCAGTAGGCTTTCTTGAAAGAGCTTGCTGGATATTACATCGAACAGTTTTTTTCTTTACTCACTGACAGTTCTGATCACTCATTCTTAATTGGACAATCATGTTTTTCTTGGTTGCGTGTTCCATATACACTAAATACTATCAAATTATTGCTGTTCCTGTGCCTCAGTAAAATGTACATTTAGATAAAAAGGCATCAGTAGTGTTGATTATATTTTCATCGGGGATGATTTATCCTCATATTATATGTATTATATATATATATATATATATATACTGATGGATCATTCCAAATATACTGGGATTTATATGTGGGATTTTGGTTTTTATATTCACAGAATAGGGAGACTATAATTAAAAAAAGAGGTCTTTTGCTTTAAACAAACTCATAGTTTAATTAACTTATTAAATTTAGGACTTCAACTTTTTGCTTTTGTCGAAATAAGATTAAGCAGTTATTGCTGTATTGCGAGGCATACCACTTTTTTCAGTTACCAATTTTCCAGTTAAAATTTGTCAAAGTTCTTGAGAAATTTTCAGGATGTGAGAGAGTATGTTAAATGGATGATGTATTGGATTGTTTTTGCTTTCTTTTGCTTCATAGAAACGATTGCCGATGTCATTGTCTCATTTTGGCTACCGTTTTATTACGAATTAAAAATTATTTTCGTATTATGGTTATTGAGTCCTTGGACCAAAGGCGCTTCAATCTTATATAGAAAGGTAAGCTTTCTGTGAATAAATTTTTATCTTGATTTGTCATACAGAAAGCAAAAGAATAAATTTTTTATCTTTCTGTTTCTGTGAATAAATTTTTTTCTTTTATATTTTTCTGTTTCTGTGAATAAATTTTATATTATAAATTTTTTTTATCTTGATTTGTCATACAGAAAGCAAAAGAATTTATCTCTTTTTTTTTCTTTTTTTTTTAAATTTTTTTTGTAAAAATCAAGCAAATATATTTATTCAGCGTGTTCAGAGTATTCTGTCTTTTCAATATCTTTTATATAGTGGGTACATCCTACGTTGACAAAACACGAAAGAGATATTGATCTGCTGCTGGAACATGCCAAGTCAGAAAGTTATAATCAGGTTTGTGTGGTCGTAGTTAATTAGTGAATTGCTGATGATTGTTGTTATAATATCTTTTATGTGTTTTACATTTTGTGTGATTTATGTTGAAGATCTTCCTAACATAATCAAGAAAAAGGAGCCTATGTTACTTGGGCTAGTAAATCTTTTTTTTTTTTTTTTTTCAGGTTCCATTTAAAAAATATATCTACAATGCTATATTGTTGTGTTAAACGGCTTTCTCGGAGTTATTTCCTAAGACCGAGGAATAGCTTATTCTTAAACTTTATGATTTTTATTAATCAAATTTTTAGAATTTGGATATTCAGATGAACGTTTTAGGTAATGCGATTAGGTAGCAGAGGTATATTGTGTGCTCGTGAAATTATTGCAACAGCCGCATTACGAGGACAAGCGCAGCTTGTGCAACAGCTGCAGCGTTCATATAGCGCCAGCGATGTTAATAACAGGTACAAATTCTGTATAGGTAAAGATTGCGTTTTGAATGACGGCTTGGAAGAACGTAGTTCATTAAGTTCTAAGTTATAGGCTATGTCTTTGATATATTAATATATATTTCATTTTCTTCGTTAATTAAGTTCAAATTCAAGAGAATCATCATCAAAAGTAATCCGTGTAACGGAAATCCAAGAAGATGACGAACATGAACCAGAGAGCAGTAGTGCTATAGATGTTTTGGAAGAAGAAATTGCTTCTGTAAGTTCAATTTTCTAAAGACCGTAAATCAAGATCCTTAATTGCAAATTTAGAACTGAAACATTTGGCAGAGATGAAATATGAGACTTCTTATGCTTTTTAGACAATTTGTCAACTTGAATTTTTTATATGTTTATCTTCTCATGATATTTTTCTCTTTTGTAATATTAATTTTCTTCATTTCGGTATTGACAGATGTGATTAGTATCAAGAGAAGGACTGCTATATTTTAAGACAGAATTTTGAATGTCCAGATCCTTGAAAACCGTTGGGTAAATGTATGGTTTTTACTTGTACTGTACATTAGGATAACACAAATGTGTGTCATGTCAGTATAACACACTGGGCTGAAAAAATCTGTGATAGCTTTGATTTCTCACTGTTTCTGTTTCACTGCAGTGATGTAAGTACGTATTGTCTTGCTTTCCGGCTTGATGCGAAAACATGAATTCAGTTTTCTTTGTTTACAGATTATGGAACGTGAAGACCGAACCGAAGCATTGCGTCGGAGCTCTAGACGTCGGAGATCGCCCGCGTCGGAAACGATTTACAATACATTACCGCGTCGGACAACACGTCAACATAAATAATTTCATTAGTAATATACCGGAGTTCTGTTGATATGTAGTGTTTTTTTTTTTTTTGTCAGATATCAGTGTATTCCCCGACATAGCGGTTTATAAACCTTTGTTATACAAGTGAGGATTGGTTGTATGTTAGTGAATCATTGATTGAATTATGAGGTTGGATTTGTCGTGTTGTTACTAGATATTCTGTCTCTGTGTTTAGTGAAAACATAGGTTCACCTTTTGCAGCTTAGTTTTTTAGAAATTGGGGAGGTTTTTGAAGACTCGTTTGTATGATGATTGGATATCCTTTATTGCTAACTTTTTCAACGCAGTTTTGGCTTTACATTTAATGTGGTTTTGTTTATTATGAAACTTTCATCAAATTTGCTTTTCACTATTTGATAGCGTTCGTATTTTAAACTGAAGGACCTTAACTCTACAGCTGCAATTCTTTTCCCTTATTTCCTTCTCTATATGCTTTTTGCATATTTATGTATCCTTAGAACTGCAGTTCTCACTTTTTTGATTTATTAATTATTGTGTTGTCAGACACCTAATATTTTCTTTTTTCCTTTTTTTTTTGCCTTTTATTTCTGTATTTTAAATCTAGGAAAGAGTGTATCTCTTGCAGCTTTTTATAAATATGAATCTTGAAAATACTACATGTTCTATTTCAATGCCTTTTGTCTTTCAGCTTCAATTGTAACTGTTGATTTTCTGAAATCTATGAAAGATCCCTTTGCTTTACATTTGAAAAAGCTTAAAATAGAGAAGTTAGCTTAGTGAAGTTTTGATGTACTGAGAAATGGAAGCTCTGTTTTCAGAATCAGATAGTGCTTTAAACCAGCTAAAATTATCTGCAAATTAATTTTTTGGTTTTCTCTATCACTTTTCCATCACTGTATAACGCTTTTTTTTTCATACAATTCTTTTTATTTGTGCCTTGAGGTGCAAGGTTTTTGTCATACCAAAAAACAATTTCCAAACCTCACTTTTGAGTTCAGGTTTTTTTTCTTTTTTGAATCCCAATGAATACGTGAATCAGTTCGATTAAGGATATGATTTTTGCATGGTCAACAAGTTTTTGAATCATCATACTACATTATTTCTTTTGCCAAATTTGATAGAAAATTTGGGAAGAATCTTATTGATACTCATCGATAAATTTTTTCTGTCAAAATGGCATTCTCGTTGGTTGATTCCTGTCCACTAGTGCCAGGGTCCGTTAAGGTTTTTTTTTTTTTTAAAAAAAACTTTTTAGAAGTTTCGGATTGTAAAGCTTTTGTCAGTGCTGTATTTTACTGCATTACTTTTTGCCAATTCGGACTAGTACATAATATGTTTATGTCCGAAGATTCTTTACTAAGTTTTGAAGTAATTTGTGTTTTCTTCATTGTACATTCATTTTTTCTCTCTTCGATTTCTTTGCTCACAAATAATAGAAATAAATTTGAAGCGATGTGCGTAAATGTATAAAGTGATGTCACATGCCATCTTTTCATTAGGTGGTGCTGGTTCTGTCTAATGAAGCATTGTTTTGTTTGGAATTGTTAACTGTATTCCGCACTGTGATATTCATTCCGGAAACGTTTTCTTACCTCAATGCATTGTATGGAGCAGAGAAAATATTGGAGTTAGACATGCTCTCTCAAAAGATGAGTTCGTTAGTAGAGAAGTTGATGCGGTTTGATTTCTATCGTTAACTAGTTTCTTGATTATTTGATAAAGATTTATATAACAGATGGTTCATGAGGTTAAGGTTGTTGCTGATTTGATAGGTTTGAAGGGAAGTGTCGTATTTTTTAGCTTCTGGTTATACTAAGTTTTATTTATTATCTTGTCGAGCTTATTTTAGCCATTCTAATGTGTGAGCCTTTCGTGTGCGTCCCTATTCATTTGACTTTATTAGAGGCCGACTTCAAGGACGTAATTAAATGGCGACTAATGATGATTTGAAGCGTTTGGAAGGCACACAAGATACGAAAGGTGGTTTATTCATTCGTAAAAAGACGGAGAGTAATAACGAGTTGTTTAAACATCCCGGAAAGTCACTTCTCGGTTTGGATGTCCTAGCAAGGTCTCGTGCTCGAAATGAGGTAAATTCCCGGAAGCGTCGAATTGAAGACGGTTCACCTGGTGGCCTTTCGGAGAGCGTACACAAGCAAATCGCCGCGTAAGTTGCGTTACTTTTCGATAAATAATGATACAATTTTTTGAAATTAGAGCAGAAGTCCGTTCATTATCATCAAATTTATACAGTAATAACTGTGACTTTCATAATAATGAAAATTACTTACTACTATTACGGAGAAGAGTAATTTTGCCTTCCAGTAGTTTTTTTTTACGGTTTTGTTTAATTTGATCACTTTGCTAGCAGCAGAAGTCGAAAACACGCAAAGCATGTTATAAAGCACATGTCCATAAAAAACAGTTTTAAACATCTTGTCTCTGAAACGTCAAAAACATCTCTAAATTGAGCTGTTACCGGAAGTTGTCAGTATTTCCTTCTTTGTCTAACTTTTCACTCACCTAAAACCTTTCTGCAGTTATGTAATCGAAAAATACAAAGGAGAGAAACGCGGAATTTATGCGGATACGAGGAAAAATGAGTCCAAGCAAAGAAGCTGTCATCATAACGAAGGAAGTTGGCAAAAGCATTCTAGAGACAAGAATCCACGAGATAGAGATGCAGAAACTCCTGTTTTTAAGGTAAAATTATATGCATTTTCGGTGCTTTTAACAGAATTGAACACAACATTGGTTCGTCCCTAAATATTCATGGACGAATCTGAAATATGCAACTCTTTATGCTGGAAACATATTTGTGCTCAATATTATGAACCTCTAGTATATTATAGTTACTTTAGGCACCTGACACTCCTTCACGTTCAGCCTGGGAAGAGGATGATTCGGGGCAGATATCAAAAAGGTACCATTCAAGCTGGGATACACCAACTTCATCTGGTCGTCATGATAATACACCTTCAACTCGTAGCGTTTCGAGCATTTGGCAGAGTGAACGAAATCGGAAACGACAAAAGCACAATAAGAAAAGGTAATTAGTCAATGTAGAATGCATATTCTATGATGTATTTGAGCTGAAGTGATGCAGTATGTAAATTTTACAAGAGGAATTTTTGAGCTTGAATTATTCTTCTGTCTTTGTTTACGGTAAAAGTGGAATTGTGCATTGCTCTCTCATATGACAATATAAGTAGAGATTCATTTACCCTTTCAATTTATTACAGATAGCATTACTTACGAGAAGGCTTTTTTTCATTGAGTGCGATTAGATGCACTGTAGCATGTTTTTGTTAGATTTAAAAAAGATAATTGGTCTAAGTGTAAAATGATGATATATTTCAGAAATCGAGAGGATACTATTCGTTCGGTCAAGGAGGAAGGAGAGTTAGTTCCAGATTTTCGCAATGCTTTTGAAAGAGCGGAATGGGAAAGAGAACAACAAAAATTGGATCGTGATTGGTACGGCAATGACCAAGGCTATGATGACGAAAACAATCCATTTTCTCAGGTTTTTTTCTGCTGGCTTAAATTATTGTTCCAACAGCAATTTCAATTCTAGTAAGAAAAGAACTTGACTTTGCAGAAAATTTATGATAAATTTGAACGGAATATACAAAAAAGAACAAGATTTCCAATTATCTTAGGAAATATGACATTTACTAGTTCTGTTCGCTTATCAAATGATTAAAACGAGTGTCATTTTTCAAAGTCAAGTTCATTGCTAGTTCAGCATAAATTTTTTTACTTTTTCTCGGTATATAAGGACGTATGCCATACATTTATGTGGACCCCATTCTCAGGTTCTTTCTTCTGGTTTAAGTCCTTGTTCAAAAAAGAATTGGACATGTTGAAATGAATCGCTTATTGAGTATTTGAAAAGTATGACGGAAAAGTTTTGAAAAGCGCAAGTTACAGCTGAGACTACCGAGCACTAATTTTTCTTTATTGAATATTTCAGTTGCTTTTGTAACTCTGATAGTGTGCTATGGTCAAACTTAAAAAAAAAATTTCCAAAAAATCCTTAATTTAGAATTCATGGACATATGGATGCGTTCTTATATATCGAAAAAAGAAAGAAGTTCATGTACTTATGTTGAGCCAGCGATGAACTTGGCGTTGAAAAAATACTCGTATTAATCATTTGATAGGCTTACAACATTAGCAACATGTCTTGTTTCCGAAGATAATTGGAAATTTGGCTTTTCTTTCCGTATTCTGTTCAACTTTATTTTTGATTCTCTAGGAAGTAATTTTTCACTAGAACTAAACCAACAAAAGCATGTTCAAATTATCCAATATAGGTTTCCCAAGAATATATAGAAAAAAAAGAAAGACAATGGCAACAAAAACGTGAGAAGCCCCGTCTTACGGTTCGTCAACAACAAATCAAAAAAGACAACAAAATGTGGGAAAATAATCGATTGGCAAGATCAGGTTAACAGCTAAACATTTTATTTTGCCTGTTCTAGTTTGTTCTATATATTTGAATTTATTTTACACATTTTAATTTCATATTGTATCCATCGGAATCCCCTTTTCATTTTTACTGGTATTACATTATAGGTTGGACAAAATATTATATATATATATAAGATGTGTACTGCTGTTATACCAATAAACGGATTTCTGTCCGTCTTCAATAAAACTGAATAGTAAATATAAAAATTTGAGGTGTTGTATCACTTACTGATGATGACGATTTCCTCGATGATGAGTCGGATGAAAATCGAGTAACACTGCTGGTGCAGAATGTCGTGCCGCCATTTTTGGACGGTCGTTTTATATTTACAAAACAAAATAAACCAGTTGTTCCTGTGAAGGATATAACTTCTGATCTTGCTGTTGTTGCTGCTAAAGGAAGCAAGGTGGTTTAGCAATTTTTCGTGTATTAGGATAAATGGCTTATTGCTTATTTTTTATTTGTTTTTGAATTTCAAAAGATTTTGTTAATAAACTACCTTCACTCCTTTCTAAAAAGAGTGAAGAAAACTAAGACTAAGTCGCCAGATATTTTTTAATAGGTTGTCCGAATGTGGCGTGATAAAGAAGAGCAAAAAAAAGCACAAGAGAAACATTGGGATTTGGCAGGATCAAAATTGGGGAATTTGATGGGTGTTAAAGTAATACCAGATGAGATAAGCAGTGACGATGCTGGGATATGTTATAGGTATGGCTTCAAGATTTTAATAGATATCCTGGTTAATCTTGATTTTCCGAAGCTTAAAGTCTTTGCATTATTCAGTATTTTCGAGTTATCATACTTTTATGGAATTTATGGTTTGAGTGAGCTTAGAGACTGATGCAGCTAGGCGACATATTCTTCAGTTTTTGTCAAGTTTCAATTCATAGGGTTGTTTTTGAGAATCACTGATCAAAAATTCATGATATTTGAAGATTCACTTTGTAACTTTTCTTATACGGGACATCGTTTCTAGTAAGACTCCTGTGCCAAAATTCTTTAGCAATAAATACAAGAGACAAATTTATCTTGAAATATACACCCCAATTTGCTATGATTTGAATTGAACTTAATGCTATTGATAAATTTTAACTTAAATATTCGAATAATTAAAGCTTCGATGACCCAATTAATGCTATAACTTTGTTAGCCTTATGCATATCCTTTAATAAAATTTTTTTAAGAGAATCACAACAGTTTGCATCTCATTTGATCGAGTCGGGAGCTGTTTCGGATTTTGCATTGAAAAAATCCATCAAAGAGCAACGGGAATATTTGCCCGTATTTGCTGTAAGGCAGAAAATGCTCAGTGTTATTGCAGATAACAGCGTTGTTATTATTGTAGGTGAAACAGGTAGCGGCAAAACAACACAGTTGGCTCAGTATTTACTCGAAGATGGCTATGGTTTGTTTTGCACACTGTTATATTATCAGAAAACTAAATTTTTATTAAAACCATTTTAGTCATTATCCTAGCTATTTTATATCACTGGCATAACGGAGTAGATATGCTGGGCATTGCAGCTAATTTTGGTCTAATTGGTTGCACACAACCACGACGTGTAGCAGCAATGTCGGTAGCAAAGCGAGTTGCTGAAGAGATGGGAGTTGACTTAGGCCAGGAATGTGGATATGCTATTCGATTCGAAGATTGCACTTCTGAGAATACAAGAATCAAGTATATGACCGATGGGATTTTGCTCCGAGAATGTTTGAGTGATCCAGATTTAGATCAGTATTCTGCCATCATTATGGACGAAGCCCATGAAAGGTTTGCTAATTAACTTGCTTAAAAGAGCTTTCAACAAACCAAAATAACAACTGCTTGAATGAAGTAAACTTCTTTAATTTTGAATTTCATATAATAGCTCGAGTTGGCAAACACTTTATATTTTTGTAATTCACTTATCTATTAGCTGTTTTGTTGTACGTGTATAATTTTTATATGTATACACTATGTTAAGGTCACTGAACACAGATGTGTTATTCGGCCTTTTGCGAGATGTCATGGCCCACCGAGCTGATCTCAAACTGATTGTTACTTCAGCTACTATGGATGCTGAAAAATTTGCTAATTTCTTCGGTGGTCATACTCCTTGTTTTACTATCCCTGGTTGGTTATAACACTATTTAAAAAACCTGTCATACTGGATAAAATACACTGTTATTTGATTTGGTTTTGGGAGTTAATATTGAGATTCATTTCATCTTTTCAGTTAGAAATATGTCATTTAGAACTGTATTTTAAATTTCATAATTCATATACAGACTGTTGCAGGTTTCTCTCTTTTATATATATTTGCCGATGTCAATAATTCTTTTTAAAGGTCGCACTTTTCCGGTTGAAATATTTCACGCTCGAACACCTATGGAGGATTACGTCGATGCTGCAGTGAAACAAGCCGTAAGGGTTCATTTGGGTGGTACAGATGGAGATATATTGATATTCATGCCTGGACAGGAAGATATTGAGGTTTGCCTTCATGGAAAAAAATTCAAATACTAGTTAGGACTCGATGAAAGTTTAACTGAAGTTAGTTAGAAAAGAAATAGAAATTTTTTTCTCATTCCATGTTATCTTTGACTGATTGGATTTGTTACATTATTTGTGTTACATCTCAGGTTACATGTGGAATGATCAAGAATCAGTTGGAGGAACTAGATGAAGCGCCACCGCTTGCTGTATTGCCAATTTATTCACAACTTCCAAGTGATTTACAAGCAAAAATATTCCAAAAAGCTCCAGGTGGCATCCGCAAATGTATTGTAGCAACAAATATCGCGGAAACATCGTTGACTGTTGATGGCATACTTTTTGTTATTGATCCTGGCTACTGTAAGCTGAAAGTTTTCAATCCTCGCATTGGAATGGATGCACTTCAGGTAATTTTTGGAAAATAAATTTGATTTTAATAGAGCCAAGATGCCAAAGATGTGCTTTATGTCCATGTTTGTCGGATACAACATCGAGCAGAGTTTATATTTATATTGGCTGCCAAGAAACAAAGGACCCCAAATGATTTTTTCCAGGTTTTTCCAATATCTCAGGCTTCAGCTAATCAAAGATCTGGTCGAGCTGGTCGCACGGGTCCAGGACAGTGTTTTAGACTTTATACTGAGAGACAGTTTAAGGTATTGTTAAATTTCCTCTAATTTTATTGTAAAGAGAAAAACTATTAAAATCTTTTAGAAAAGAAGATAAATCGAATACAGAGAAAATAGGTTTCCTACTCTCTCTGTATTCAAGCATTACTGATAATTCTAGACTGTGTGGTGTAACGTTTTGTAAGATTGTAATGACTAGTTTCTAGATCATTGGTGTATTGTGCAATAGTAGAGTACTATTTGTATAGCAACATGAAATATATATATATATATATATATATGTAATGATTCAATATAAAGCTATAAGAAAACAATGACAAAGAAATAATTTACTTGTGAAGTCAAACTTTACTAAACCATAATCTGGGAAGATCGAATATTAAAGATTTTTTAGAGCTGTTTTTTTTTTTTTCAAATAATTTCAGTTTTTTATTACAAGTATATATTGTTCTTTAGATTTTCGAGACTGTAGATTTATTTAAACTCCAAGATTCTGATTCATTTCTTTCCGAAAAATGTAGATAATTACTTCATCGCTTGGTTTTTCCTATTGTTTTATCTTAGGAGGAAATGTTGGTAGCTACTGTACCAGAAATTCAAAGAACAAATCTTGCAAATGTGGTTTTACTGCTGAAATCTCTGGGAATCGATGATTTGTTGAAATTTCATTTCATGGATGCACCTCCTCAGGACAACATGTTGAATAGCATGTATCAGCTATGGACACTAGGTGCTTTGGATAATATAGGTCATTCATTTAAAATTTCTCTAGTTTGCTCATTTTTATGTTTCCAATTTCTTAAAATCAGTATATCACGTTATTAGAAATTCTGAACTGTCCCGGGGGAAAGTTTTGTGCAGTAGCACGACTCCATTTGTATGGCAATATAGAATGATTCAATATATCTGATTACTTAATTTTCCTTCTCGTATGATTTGAAATTGGTGAGATTCGTTGGTAATTCTTGCATTGAAATGCAAATATTTCTAATTTTTACTCAAATCGAATAATATTTTTCCACTCTTCCAGGTAGACTTACTGATTTGGGTAGAAAAATGGTGGAATTTCCATTGGACCCAACTCTTTCTAAAATGCTGATTGTGTCAGAAGGAATGCATTGTAGTGATGAAGTGCTTACAGTCGTCTCCATGCTTTCTGTGCCTGCTATATTTTTTCGTCCTAAGGGACGAGAAGAGGATGCTGATGCAAAAAAAGAAAAATTTCAGGTGTGTTTTTTCTGCTTCTTATAAAGAATATATAAAACAGAACACCTGCTTTTATTGCTTAATTGTTGGTGTGAATAATGATTCAGTGCATTTCTCTCGCTTATGTTTTCGCATAAAACCCATCGATGTTTAGCATATGAAAATAAATTACTAGAGAACAGAAAAATATAGTTTTGAACCGCTTCGGATTTCTAGCGATCGTTGGTGATATTTAACATTTGATCGAAATATTCTGATCGCTCACTCCACTCTTTTGCAATGTTGAAAAGTTTCAGGGTATCGAAAAGAAATGTATGTGAATTATATAAATTGGTCGCTGAGTAAATTCCTTGTTTTACACTTTAAAGCCACTATGTCATCTTTAAAATGCTAATTTCAGGTACCTGAAAGTGATCATCTTACATTCTTGAACGTCTACTTGCAATGGAGACTCCATAAATATTCGACGAAATGGTGCAATGACAACTTCATTCATACTAAGGCTATGAAGAAAGTTCGGGAGGTCACATTGTTCTTTTGATTCACTATCTTTCGTCGCCTGAGTTTTACCGTTCATAATGCTTCGCAGCTTCTTTCTCATTCTTTTTTAATCGAAATACATTAATTTTTTCTTACTTTCAGGTTCGTGCTCAGCTGAAAGACATTATGGAGGAACAGAAAATTGAACTAATATCATGCGGTACGGACTGGGATGTCATACGAAAATGTATTTGTTCAGCCTATTTTCATAATGCTGCAAGGTAAGTGAACTGAAGTCGGTTTTTATGCATTAAGAAAGAGTTGTTTTTGTTTTTAGAGTTCTGTTTTTATATTACAGGCTGAAAGGAATTGGAGAATATGTTAATGTGAGAACTGGAATTCCCTGTTTCTTGCATCCTACATCCGCGCTTTTCGGTATTTTTTGGACTTAATTAATGATTAGGATACTACTTATCCGTGAATTTGAAATTCGAAAATTTCCTGTTATATATCTTAGACTGCTCTTGATTTTATTAACCATGCGATACACAACTGCTACTTTTTTCTGAGTCCTATCCTTATTCTGTTGTTTCCTAAGCCGATTTGTTTGTAGCTTGTATTGAAGTTTAAATAAAAATTTTTGTCAACTTTCTGATTATTTTAGGAATGGGATATATGCCAGATTACGTTGTGTATCACGAACTGATCATGACAGCAAAAGAATACATGCAATGTGTAACATCAGTTGAAACACCATGGTTAGCTGAACTTGGACCTATGTTCTATTCCTTAAAAGAAGCTGGTTCAAGTAGAATCGAGAAAAGGCTGCAAAGTATGCATGATGCTCGGAACATGGAAGAAGAAATGAAACAAGTAAAATTTTGACACTAAGGAAAGGTTGAGTATGGTTGATTTTTTGGATCATAGTAATGATTTAAATTCAAAATACGTAGTTCAGTAGAGCCTAAACTTATGTCGCTGTTGCCTGCTTTATTCAATTTATTATTTCTAAAATTATGGCTTTAGCTTTACCTTCAATTATTTGTTGAAGTAATTTAGTTTCGAGTTCTTGTCTTCAAAAATCATTTTTTAGGCAACAAGCAGAATGAATGAAATAAAAAAAACGGAACAAGAAAAGAGTCATTCGGCTCGTTCAGTTTCATCAGCACAGATAGCAGAACCTGGAAAAGTCTATGCATCTGTAAGATCCTCGGAAAGGTTTGGGATGTAGTCATTGTCTCAGAATATTTTCTTTCTCCGTTTTTTATATTGATCTAAAGTACTGCCAACAACGCCTATATATTGAAATATTATGAATCTGTTTCTGTGTGGATAAATAATGGTGCTTTATCTGACTTCTTTTACACGCAGTATTTTAAGATGTAGCATTGGAGGTTAATTGAAAAAGCAAAAAATGTTTTATTTGCCATATTAAAGATTCATGAATTTCATCAGTAAAGACTGATGGAATGATAAGCGAGACTAGAAAGATGACTATCTCAAGAATCTTCAATCTGAGAGCTTGGAAAATGCGGCAGTTTTTTTTCCTTTCTGATGATGTGTGAAATCCATTTTTCTGGCGTTGAACTACTAAACTTTTTGCTAATGATTCTATTATCTATATAGCCATAATCGTTTTTATAGAATTGAATGTCATTTTTGCACTTCTCGGTTTTCGATAAACTGTATCGTATGGTAGAGCTATCAGATAATCAGTAGATGAGTTGTAACATTATCTGCACTGTATTACGAGAGATTCCTAGCAGTTTCCTGTCAGCTGATATTGCCGCTATAATATATTTGTTGTCATTTACTTTTTCTCTTAAATTTACTAATGTAGTACTTATTCTATAAAGTATGCATGTTACATTGTATTCTCTGTGTAGAAGTTGTAGTAAATTCATGCTATGCAACTATATTTTTTATAAAGAAATGTAACTAAGCTGATAGGCTGATGTGTCACTTTTACACTTAAAAGACTCCTTCTGACTGGTATGAATCAACTTTGAGTCAACTCTGACTCATCTGGATTTTTCAAATTGACATAGAAGTGAAGGGAAAGGGAGGAAGAAGACACACTTATTTGGCATTACTTGGTCATGAGATGTGTCAGGTGATTTTAAGCGAGATTATGTAATTGAATTGGAATTTGTTTCATAAAAGGTAAGACTTAGAAAGTTTACCTTGTTACAGTAGAGGTTAATTCCCTCTTTTGGTAGATCATTTGAATATGACTTGTCTTTCATTCAGCGAATGTCTGCAGTAGGAGACCGGTCTTTGTTTAGTTGGAAGACGTGTTGTCATGTGTACTTCGTGTTCATTTTTTTTTCGTTTTCTTGCCTTTATTTTAATTAAATGTAATGGGACTTTAACAATTTGCTGAATGTTTGGGTAATATGATGCAATCTTTCGTTGGGACAGAATCTACTTATTGCTTTGAGTCCTAGATTAAAGCATTGCACGTAAAGTGTGAATCCATTTATATCAAAGCACTACATAAATGTTGTTCCATTCCTAATACTTATGTTGTTCCATTCCTAGTACTTCTTTCAAAAGACTTAACAGCTGCAAAGCATGCTCTTTGAGTTAGGCGTTCTGTGAACAGAACGCACTTGGACACCGCGCTCTATTTTTACTATTACTTCTATCCTGTTATCAGTTGCAATACTTAACCATAACCACTAGCTGCTTAAATTATAAATGCCATTCACATATATCAAACAAGAACATATAGTGCTCAATGCTCCCAATTTTATGCAAAATAAAGTTCAGATCCAGATTTCTCTTTATTGCACTTCAGTTTTATCTCATATGTTTATCTCCATATTATAGACAAAGAAATGGCGTGGTTTTACGTCATGCAGGCAGAAAAATCATTTATATAAATAACAATGGTTATTTGCAGGATAAGTCATTGTCAAATGCGTTAGTGTCACTAAAGTCACTGTTTATAACCACTATTTTATCTCTTCGTTAACACAGGAATATTAGGACCAGTGGTTCGTTTCCCACTCTTTATTACTAATTTTCTCCACCGAAATAATTTCGTTCAATAACATTACTTTGGCACTATTTATTTCCCTGACAAATGGAAATTTTTGAACTGTTCTCACTACTTTTTTTAACTATATAATATTTCTAGTTGTTAGAATTTTTTCGATCGTTTTTCAAATTTATACTTTGAGTCATTTTCAATCTTTAACAGTGGTCTTCATCTAAGATTTTTTTTTTGCATTTCACTATATTATATTGTTCTTATTGTTTTTGTAATATTTTTTTCAGCAATAAGGGTGGTGGAACAGAATGGAGAAATTACCGGAGGAGATGCTAAGGGCTGTATTTGTTTATTTGTCAGGGTCGGATCGTTTACCGGTAGCCCTTACATGTCGTCGATGGTTTAATCTGTTAAAGGATTCTGTCCCGAGTATCAGTGTTGTACACATTTCTCTGGATATATCTGCTTGTTCAACTCGATTTCTAGAAGCGTCCCTATCAGAAGCAACTCTTTCGATATGCTTGTGTCCCGGACATGCGAAGAAGCATGCTGTTCTATTGCAACCACTGTTTCAAGCTGCTGGCAAAAAACTTACAACTTTAGCTGTTGAAGATAATCTTATACCAAAGGCTTGTTTTAAACTTGTTAAAAAATCTTATAAATATAGATCAAATCATGTTGATAAGAACGTAGGTGACCATTGGTTTGTCCGAAAGAGTTATAAGACATATCTTAAATCACCTGTTAGCTTGAATTGCTAATTTGTTAATATTTTTCACAGTCAAATTTCAGGAAGGGATGGAGACTCAAATTCCAGACGTGACAATTCACGCACTGCTCAACAATATGCCGAAGTGCTTACGGACATTGCATTTCCAGGGCGTTGATTTCTCGAAAGTTCGGCCATGGACGTTTGCGCTACTTGTAAAATTGAAATCCTTAGAAGAACTATATGTATTGGATGCTGTGTTCCCAACTGACAATGAATCATTGTTCGCCAGGATAATTTCCCCATCATTCGATACCTTGACCAGCATTTCTATTACTAATAATGCGCAGGTCAACCAGCTCTTTTTGCATAGTTTCAACTAACTATATTAGCTATAGAACTCTTCTGGGTAGAAAATTTCGGGAGTTCGCGTAAGATTTGGAGTGGAGGGACATAATTTAGATCTAATATTTCCTAAGTGAACATAAAAAGTTCCAGGGATTTAAAGATAGTTAAAATCCAAATAATTCTGTGGAATTTTCAACTTTTTTTATCCGCAAAAACGACTAGAAACGATAGATGCAAAGTATTTCCACGTGACATGATATACTAAGTCAAATATCACAATTTTTTACAATACACTTCCGATAATGTCAGGATTTATTTAATTTATAAAAAGCATATGGAACAGCGAACAGTTGATCCATCCAAGATTGAAATTAATAGCATATAAAATTTTCTTAGTATATTTCACATTTTAGATCACAGATAAGTTCGTGTCTACTCTGGCGCGGCGCTGTCCAGTCTTGCAAACCATAAATTTAAATGGATGTAAACGTATTACTTCTTTATCTGTGCTTGCTTTCGCTGAAAATGCGTCACATCGGATTACAGAATTAACATTTATTCATGTCCAGGCAACAATGTTCAATCCTAATTTGGTAAGTTTAGAAAAAAGTTTTAATGATGACTGGACTTCGGTTATTATGTAAGCAGATCTTTTCATTCATTTTGAATTTTGAGACTGACATTTAATTACAGTTTTAAGACTTTTTATAGAAATTTATTTCAAGTTCTCAAGTAGTTAGTTGAGGAAGGAAGTCATGAAAACCAAGAACAAGTAAGAAAATTTTCGTTTATCTTAATAACTGTATATACTCTAGATTCTTGGGTTAGAAGCATTCCTTTTTCATCAAATATTCATGAGACCTTACCAGATGCTTCGCTGATTCTAAAATTCGTAAGCTTTTTTTATTTCATTATTCAGATTAGATACGAATGGAGATTAGATACTTTATTTAGTCTTAAGTTTTTGGTAAGATTTCACCACTAACATTAAATTTGCTTTGTTCTACAAATATTTGTTGCTGAACTTGTCAGCTGTCCTTCAGCTGCAACGATATTTATCATCACCATTATTGATCGGTGGAAATTATTGGAGAGCGAATGCCCTGAAATTAGAAATTGGATTTCAGCATGAAGCAATTTGTTTGGAGAATATTTGTCGCAACAATTTGTTCATAATTGTCTTTATTTAAGGATCTCGAAATCGAGTATATCGTAACATTGTTCATATTTCTTTACTAATTATTCTTTATTTTTTTTAGATCGCTGCTTGTTCTGATAGAGTAGTTATTAGAAGTAGTTAAATTTAGTTGTCCAGTCTCTTCCTCCGAACATTTCGTTTCATCCTCTTCTCATAGTAGCTATCCTTTTTTTCGCATTCGTGTTTCAGTAAACTCACGCATTTTTACCGCTGAATGAAAAACATCTGTCATTGTAATTCCTTGACAATATCTAGTAATATGAAAAACACTGTGTTTCACTATTGTCACACTAAATTCACCACACACTGCCATATTAATATATGATTTTAATGAATATATAATTCGTCACTGTTTAGATTGTTTCATTGTAGATGTTGAAAATTTCCTGCACGTAGCTTACTTTCAAATAAACCTTGATAAATCTGGTTCATCAATTTGATCTTTTTTTTTTGAATTGCTGGAAATTTGACATTTTACCTATTTAACTTGTAACTACAAAGAAAATTTGTCGCCAGGCCTTTCGGGGCAAATACTGAGATAGTATTCTGCAAAAAATCATAAGAAGTACATTTAGATATCGATGACTACCTCATTTATTTGTGCTTCAGATGATGTAATTTTCACTGACAACTGATCGAGGTGCTACTGAAATTAAGCATATAAACAGAGAAGGTTCGTCTGAAGCAATGTTCAACATACCACTTCAATTATAACACCAGAAAAGAATTTCGTAACGGAGGGTTGTGAGAGCCACTATGCTCTGCCATCTTTGAATAAATTCCAAAGTACACATCTGTATAAAACTTCTAGTTTCAGCAGCTTTATAGTCAAGATATTCGTTTGAATCCTGTTTATATACAAAACATTTACCTGCTTGGCATAAATATTCAAAACATCAGAAACTTAGAAGACATAAATTAGAAATTTCACAGAAGTTGCATAGGTTGTTTTACAACTGAGCATGCTTTAGTTTATGTCATTTTGCAGCTCAATGACATAACAATGGGGAGAAAACGAAGAAAGTATAATGGATGAAAGATAACAGTGCAGAAGCTGTAACTTACAAACTTATGAAGACACTACTACATATGGAGGAATTAAGCTATCCTCTCCCTATTGCCTCTAACCATATTTTTACTGTTTACCAACTATCATAAAATATCAACCATGAAGCTGACTGGTCAGTGCTGACTCTTTGAATTGATGAGTGGAGGAATGTGGAGTCACGTTACTGCTATTTAATTTACAAGAAAAAGGAGGTGCTGTCTGGATTTTTAATCCACACGAATAGTAACTATATAGATTAAGTGTTAGATGAGACATTACTTCGACGTAAAAGTTTTTCATGCAATTTTTGCCGTTTCTTTTTGTTTTTGGGTGGAGTTACTGATGAGTCACTCGATTTCGGCGTACTGAAAAACGACTTTTCAAAAAAACTCAATTTCCTGAAGAAAAAAGCTTAGGGGGAGGAGGGGTTTCAATGAATACATAAACACCCCTAACAATTCGTGATGCCACCAACACTTAATCAGGAGTGATTTCACAGTTGACATCACAGGCATCCAGGGCACGATTTCACCAACGTTATAAAAGCGCCACTTTTCAAGAAATATTTCGAGAAATGACTAAGCTTCCAATTGTTATATGAACGGCCTAATTATGTTTCTCGAATCACCACTTTCAGGAGTATTTCTTTCAGTGAATTAAGAACAAACCTTTCAACCTCAATGGGCGTTCGTGGTATTGTTGTAGTCGGTGATCTTGGATCCATTTCAACACGTCGAACAATCTTCCTTGGTTTAGTTGGAGTACTAAATACATCATCTTGGAGAAATTCCTTCTTTTCTTCCTTCATTTTCCCGAAAAACTGACCCATCACTGACCGCTGGGGTTAGTAACTGAAAAGAGAATATTATTGTATTAAAATTAATGTCTTGTGATGGACTTTAAGAAACCATGATTTCTGCATTTTGAGTAGGAGGGCTACAGGGAATAGTTGAGGGAATTGCTCAATTCTGTACAAATGGATGAATGATAACAATTTAAAAAAGAGTAGCTATATTAAAATAAAATCACCGGTGCCGTATTCGCTTCACTCAGCTTGTGATTCGATCAAGTAAGTACCGGAAATCAGTACAATACGGAGATGTTATTTTGGTGCTGAAAAATTATAAAATTATAAACGAATCGATGTTTCATAACGTCAGTTAACGTAGTGTCATTAAAAAACTATTTTAAGATTTTTGAGAATATGCTGTGAAGGAATTACACTGACTGATATATTCATGCCTTAAGCTTGTGTTTGACGTTTCTATGAGGTAAAGAGCACTGAAAGGGATAATGCTCAGTAGTTCCAAATATATGATTACAGCTTAAGATTTCAAACGAAAAATATTGCTGAAATTAATTAGCAAAGATCTGATTTATTATTCAGGACAGTAATGCCAATAAAATTTACAGTGTAGAAATGCTTTCTCTAATAGAGAGTTTGTAATGTATCAGTGAAAGAATCATAGGGTAGAAGAGAATTGAGGTGGAAAATCTTATGATATCGGATAGGATAAATATTGGAAGAAATTAGAAAATCCACTGGAAGTATAACTTATTTACTAAAAATATGCTTAGAGACAGCGAATGGATCCTTGCTGATGTTTATATAGGTCTTTTTGCCATGAAAAGAAGGGAGGAGTGATTGCCAAACGCAAAAGCATACATGGGTAGAGTTAGTATTAATATCCATTCCTCTTTCAGAATCCGATAGCGTGCTTGGAAGATTTTTGTTTGCAATAAAATGGTCACTTTTAGATGAAATAACTTTTAGGAAGAACAAGTAATCAGACAAAATCTACTTTGTAATTTCCCGACCTTTACCAAATAAAGAGAGCTTTGAAAATGTACTCAAACTAGGATATCCGCGCATCGAGATTCTTCCAGATTTCAGCTGCGAAGAAGTGTAGAAAGCAGTAAGTATATTAAGGGCCTATATTCAGCCAAGAATGGTATGCAAACAGCTACACAAAATACATTCAAGCACGATTACTTATGGAAATCGATATTGCTCTTGAACTATATTAGTTGAAATCAAAAACGCGCCCTTAAATTATGTAAGGGAACTGCAAAGTGTGTTGGCCTAATCCCTAGTGTATGTCAACCAGGCCTACGGGGCTAACTGGCAGTTACAGCATATAAGAAGCCCCAAAAGATCTCAAGATTTATTGAAAAATTTCAAATTCTCGCGCTTCCACAAACGTCAAAACAACAACCCTAAAGATAATCGTGCTAGGATCTACCAGAGAACAGCTGGGCGTAGTGGTGGTGCATTCTTGACCTGAAGCTTTCCCGAACATCCTTGATCCTAGAGCATTCCCGAACCTCCTGTGGGATGGAGAGGATGAGTTGTCAGTCATCATTCATTAGTGGCTGCACAGTCTAACACTAACGAATCCTTTGCAAAGATCATGACCTTAAGCGAACTATAGACAGCCTCAGTTAAGTTCATCTCGTTTTTACTAACTGAAATGCTAAGTTAAATAATGCCTTTGAGAGGCATCATTTCTTGTGTGTTATGCTAAGGATAAATTGTGGAGAAAGTTGGTGCATATATTTCAAGAAAATATTTTACAGAAGCAAGTCCAGTTTGTGAGAGTAGTTGTGAGAAATTGGGCAGAAAGTCCAGGAGAGAGGAATTGAAAGAAGAAGGAAAAATAAAGAGAGGAAAAAGGAATCACGATGGATAGACGTGGTGGTGGCCCAGCTTCTGGTGTTGGGGCAGCTTCTCCACGGAAACATCAATCCTTCCCTTCATGCGTCACAGATATCTTGGAACAGGTACCGTTGTCACCTTTACTATACTGGTACGCTGGAGATGCTTTTATTTCACATTTCAGTACGCTATGCTTTGTCTGACTAAGTTTTCCGTACATTTGATATCTTAGTACAAGTGGTTACCACTGAAAAGTCTGTTATATAATAATTCTTTTAATAGTTCGCCTAAGAATTATAAAGAGCTCAGACTTCAGCAAAAGAAAATTTTTAGTTCTAGCCTTTCCATCTCACTTTAATTTAGGGTGACAAAACAGTGGGCTTAATTTTAAAGATTTTTAACTGGATTTTACTAATTTATTGTGTCTTGATTTATATCTTTTAGCTTAGGAAATGTGGATACTTTTTATGCACTGAATATTTCGCTTGTGAAATCTCTATGAAGTGATATCGAGAAAGTGATACTGCTTGAGGTAACGAAAGTTTGCGGTCAGCAAGGACAAAAATGGCGTGGTCCTGCAGCGCTTCGAAACAATGAATTACAGTATCAGTTGGATAACGATTTGTTTTGCATTTCTCCGGATCGACGAGTATCTCGATTAAATCAAATACAGCAGTTACGTCTAATGCAGATTCTTTGCGATTACTTCAGAGTGAATTCTTCCTTTTATTTTAATAGTACT